GCTTCCTTATCTCTAGTTAATTACGGAGTATTATATATCTGGATGATTCAAAGCCTTGAATCTTGTGATACTCGTGTAATTACTTGTAATTTATATGATTATTGCTATTTATACGTTCGACATTCTTCAATTGGACACTAAATACTGGTTACTTTAGACAGCGCTGCTCCAATAATCCCTGCTCAGCACGACCTTCCTACTTCCTAAGCCCTGATATACAAATATGTATGGCTTCTTTTTTCTTTTTCTTCATGGGAAGACATGTGCATTAGTGGGGTGCTGTTTGGATATTGGAGATAGGGACAAAGTATGTAGTAACATTTGCTTTTTCAAATTTTTAAAAGGGGATTCGAAAGGTACACTCTTTTATGTGCAAGCTACATTCTCTGTTCCCTTCTTAATCTTCTTGGTTTGACTGAACAGTGGGCATAGGGATTAAGAGTGACAATTTTTATTCTTTATATTCTACTTTCCCTTGAGTTTTTGACTTCTCCTTCGAAAAACACCCTAGACTGCAGGGACATAATTGATACTCCGTATTTCATTCAACAAAGTTGCGAGTCACTTGTCTAAGGGAAAGATATAATTTTCAGATGAACCAACAAGAGTTATGAGAAGATTAGAAGAGAACTGAGGGACCACATGGTATCTTCAAGTTCCATTTTGCCTAGTTTTGAAAAGGTTTTTAAGCATTAAAATTTAAGTAAAACCAAAGAGTAATGTAATTAAAACATCTAAGTTGAAATACATTTTTTAACTGCAATGTGTTTCAGTTATTCACACATGGGTCAAGTGCTGTGATGACAAATTTTACGTTTTTTTGCAGATGCAATTGGCGTTGATAATGTTGCGCTGAAAGATGCAAGTCAAGAGGGAGAGAGAGGCCATGAGCTTTTTGGAATTAATATACCTAACCTGGTAGATCGATATGCTTGACCAATAACATACATAGACGTCCATGTGGAAGAAAGTTTTACTGTAAGAGATCTTGTTATGTTTATAAATCTCCTTCTGCCTATTCTGCTGTGAATGTTTATAAATAATTATCACATTCTTTGTATTTTTATTCAATATAGTATTACCAAAACTACTATGGAATTTGTATTACAATGATTAACGATTCAGTATGACTAAAATATGGATTAGAAATGAAAGAGTAAAAGAGAACCTGCTGAGTTTTATATTTTATGATTACTATTAAATAAAATGATGAGTATTATGTTTTATGATAAATATTTAATATGAAATTAAATTAACAGAATATGTTTAAGATAAAATATTGCATTGTTAATACTTGTTTTAATCTACATTCAACTTGCAAAAATAAATCAATGGAAAAGTTAACACTGTTAGATTCCAGTTCATATTTGCAAAGCGATTACAAGCCAGGGTTATTGTTGTGAACCTTTTCGATAGGGAATACTTTTAAGAAAGTGTGTAAAAGTATGGATTATGGTATCATTTTCGCCTTTAATTACATAAATCTTATATTAATGAAGAACCAATTTTCTAAGTTATATTTTTTTGTATACCATGAATGTTGTAGCCTAAGAAATGTGTTTGTATTTTTAGGGGAAAAAACTATTATGAAATTCCAAAAAAAATTACTCATATTCCGGGAATTTTCTCTATCTTTGTATTTGTACTTTTACTCATTTGCATTTCCAAACACACATCATTCCTCTGTATTATTATTATTACTATTATTATTATAATTATTATAATTGTGGCTCCATGATATGTGCAGATGCTTTATTCTAAACTTGGAAAACGACACATCGTTTTCTTTTTTTCTAGATTTCATTGGAGTCACACTTTCACTTCTTCATCAGTACTGTTGAACCAGAGTGCCAACAATAGCTCATCCTCATGGAATTCCTTTCAAGAAGGAGAAGAAATGGCATATGCTCGCACGCTTCAAAATTGTGTGCTGACTTCGAACTTAGGCGGCACGAACGCAATCCACGCTAAACTTCTCAAGAACCCTGGCCTTTCTTCCTCTCTGTACATCAGAAACCATGTTTTGAACTCATATGTCAAATGTGGGGACATAAGGGACGGGCTTAAACTGTTTGATGAGTTGCCAGAAAAGAATGTCGTGTCTTGGACTGCTCTTATCTCCGGAGTTGTGCAGAAGGGGTTTCCTATCGAGGCATTTTCTCTGTTTTTAAGGATGCATCGGAGTGGAATTAAGCCGAATGAGTTCACATTTGTTAGCGTACTGCATGCCTGTTCGTTTGGGGAATGTTTAAGCTTGATGCATTTATGTCAAGTGTATGGGATGATTGTTAGGTCTGGTTATGAGTCTAATATCTATTTGGGGAATGCTCTATTGACGGGTTTGTTAAGGCACTGCAGATTGAAAGAAGCACACGAGGTGTTCGAGAATTGTATAGATAAGGATATTGTGACCTGGAATGCCATGCTCAATGGTTACGTTCAGAGTGTCTGTTCAGAATTACCAAGCTTTTGGCTGAAGATGCTAAGAAATGGCGTGAAACCTGACAAGTTCTCTTTTTCAAGTGTTCTTACAGGATTGGCTGAGCTCTCCAACCTTGAAATGGGTGTGCAGGTTCATGCCTGGCTCATAAAGTGTGGTCATGGAGGTGAAGTGTGTGTTGGGAACTCTTTGGTGGATATGTATCTGAAAACTAAAATGTTGAGTGAAGGGTTGAAAGCGTTTGAGGAAATCTGTTCAAAGGATGTGCGCTCCTGGACTCAAATGGCTGCAGGGCTTTTGAATTTCGACGAGCCGAGTACGGCGCTTAAGGTTGTTGGAAGGATGAGAGTGGTTGGTGTGATGCCTAACAAATTTACTCTTGCAACTGCATTTAACGCATGTGCAAATTTAGCTTGTTTAGAGGAGGGACAGAAGCTTCATGGCCTTAGGATTAAACTAGGTGATGATATTGATGTTTGTGTGGATAATGCACTGCTTGACATGTATGCAAAATGTGGGTGCATGGGTGGTGCTTATGTGGTTTTTAAATTGATGAATGAGCGCACTGTTGTTTCATGGACGTCCATGATAGCTGGGTATGCCCAAAACGGATGCTCCAAAGAAGCTCTTGAGATCTTCCATGAAATGAGGAGGCAAAGGGTGGAGCCTAACATTATTACCCTAATATGCGTGCATTATGCTTGCAGCCAAGGAGGTCTTATTGACGAAGGGTGGAGTTTATTCTCTTCAATGAGGAACGAATATGGTATTGTCCCCGTGGAAGATCATTATGCATGCATGGTGAATCTCCTTGGCCGTGCTGGACGCATCAAGGAAGCTGAAGCATTGATTCTGGACATGCCATTTGAACCAGGTCTTTTGGTTTGGCAAACCTTGCTTGGGGCATGTGTGCTTCATGGGGATATGGAAACAGCCAACCGAGCCGCGGGAAAAGCATTGAATATTAACAAGAATGACCCCACAACCTATGTATTGCTGTCAAACACATCTGCTGGGTTGCACCTTTGGGATAATGTGGGAAATTTGAGAGAAATGATGGAGAATAGGGATGTTAAGAAAATGCCTGGTTCCAGTTGGCTTGAAATAAACAGAGGGAAATCCCTGCTTATAGCACAAGGAGAATATGTATAGAGTAGAAATTCGACAATGACGGAAGCTGTACACACTACACAGTCACACCTAAAATGTGATCTGGATTTACTAGTGCTAATATGTAGAAGTGTATATGGGAAAGGGCCGGTCAAGTGCTTTGGTTACTAAGAGGGGATTGAAAAATGTAACAAACATATCTAATGCATATTTTTTTTCGTGGAATACAATTTTAACAATGTCCCAAAATTGTTTAGTGAAACCTCCTCCAAGATTTTTTAGGATAATGAGGTCTCACAACATGTAGATGGATCAACATACCTTTGCTGTGGTCCAATCTTTCTCGGATTTGCCAATATTGTCATTCAGTCAACCGATTCATACTTTCACGGGAAGGGTTAGATAGACCCTCGAACTTACATAAAAAGGTCAAATAAGTCCTTATATAAGAGGTTCTGTCCGGCCGTCGCCATTTGGGGTTGTTCTCGATGGCATTTTTTGATGATTTTTTTAGCATCTTATTCATTAAGTTTAGTTTACTTATACCAAATTTCAGATAAAACTTCAATTGGGAAGACATTCAAATGAATTCTTGAATATAACTACGCAGTTAAAAGCGTAGTTATTTTCAAAAATTCATTTGAATGTCTTCCCGATCGAATTATTAGCTGAAATTTGGTATGAGTAAACTAGACTTAATGAATAAGATGCTCAAAAAATTTTATCAAAAAATTTCATCGGGAACTGCCCCAAATGGCGACAGCCGAACATAGCCTCCTATATAAGGGCTTATTTGACCTTTTTAGGTAAGTTCGAGGTCATATTTGACCATTTTCCCTACTTTGACACTACAACAAGATTTAGATATCGATTCACTCTCCCATATGGGGGTCTAGTTTTGAATTTTGAGTTGAAAATTTTGTGGATATAAGAATATGCTAAAAAACATCACAAAAATCTACTAGGAATCACTTCAAATCGCGATGACTAGAGTGAGGTTGTCCTATGAAATTCGGGATGAGAACTTTTCTCAGCGAGGTAGTTGCCAGCTAGGGATGTTTTTACTTGGACTATAATTTGTCCCAGACCAGGCTTGAATAGGTATAAAAATACAAAAAAATCAGACCATATCAGCTCAGCAAATTACGATCCCTAGCTGGAAATTGAATAAGGGTTGATTTGCAATCACTTTAAAAAAAGCACTTCTCCGCTTTTGGCTTTAAAAAACACTTCTTATATCAAACACTACAACTTTTATTTTTTTGGCTTTCGTGTCAAAAGTTCTTTTACTTTTTCTATTACACAAAAAACTCTTATTTAACCAAACACTACCAACTTTTACTTTTCAAAATCACTTTTTTCTCAAACAATATCAACTTTTATTTAATCACTTCTCACCATTTTATTAAAAATAACACTTTTTTTGAAACAGAAGTTTTTACAAAAAGACCTAAGCATCACATAGGGATTTACATATTCCACCATTTCACACAGGCGTTCAATTTCACCAGGATCAAACTCAGTTGCTTGTTTCCGGCTGGGCGTTCAGCTGCTTCACTTGCAGACATTTTCCACCATTTGTCCCCGCTTGAGTCTGGTATAGTCCAGAAATCCGGATTTAGTACTCGCTCCGAAGGACAAGCCTCAATGGCCAAGCAAGTGAGCAACCTGGTGTTTAAGTAAAACCAAAGGTCGCTGGAAATTCCTTCACCCATCCAAAAGGCGATGGCTTAAAAATGTGTGTCCCAAGCATTCGTCGGCTTCTAAGCATGAGCACGAAGAGCTCTTCGATCCAAGCTCTGTATGATCTCTGCAAGAAGACCTTCACTCCCTCTACAACTCTCCAACCATCTGCTGAATCCATCCTCAAGCTTTCATCCTCGCTGGGTACTTCATTTTTCTCGTTTTTCCCTTTTCCTCAAAGAAAAACAATTTCCACATACTTCATTGCCTCTAGTTAATTATTATATATCTGGATGATTCAAACCCTTGAATCTTGTGATATTCGTGTAATTACTTGTAATTTATATAATTATTGCTTTTTGTACCGTTCGACATTCTTCGCTTGGACACTAAATACTGGTTACTTTCGACAGCGCTGCTCTAATAATCCCTGCTCAGCTCCACTTTGGCCGCGCCTAAATGCTCCGTCCTTCTGGAGTGCTCCAATTTTTTCTTCCTTTGGCGAAGAAAAACCTTAGTAGTTAGTAGGCCCTGATATACACATATCTATGGCTTCCTTTTTTTCTTTTTCTTCATTGGAAGGCATGTGCGTTACTGGTGTGCTGCTAGGATATTGGAGATGCGGAAAATTTACGTACAATCTTTTATTTGCAAGCTACTTTTTCTGTTCCTTTCTTAATCTTCTTGGTTTGACTGAACAGTGGACATAGTGATATGAATGTAAATGGAAGAAGAAAAATTATTATTATTAGTAATTGTTCTGCCCATTACAATCAAGATAGACAAATATATATAGGAGAGCACTTCAAATATAAATTCCTTCCATAATACATAGGGATTAAGGGTGACAATTTTTATCCTTGATATTCTGCTGTTTGGATATTGGAGTTTTTAAGCATTTAAATGTAAGTAAAAACGAAAAATAAAGTAATTAAAATATAGCAATTATTGTGGATTAGCAACTATTCTAAGTTGAAATGCATTTTTTTAACTGCAATGTTTTTCAGTTATTCACTTATGGCTCAAGAGATTTGATGACAATTTTTACGGTTTTTGCAGATGCAATTGGTGTTGATGATGTTGGGCTGAAAGATGCAAGTCAAGAGGAAGAGAGAGGCCATGGGATTTTTGGAATTAATATTTCTAACCGGGTAGATCGATGGGCTCAACCAATAACATACATAGATATTCATGCGGGAGAAAGTTTTACTGTAAGAGATCTTGTCCTGTTTATAAATCTCATTTCGCCTGTTCTGCTGTGGATGCATGAATGGCTATCTATATGACTGCAGAATTTGATAGCATATTTGTAAATACCTCTAGGTAAGGATATAGCCCCCTCATCTATGTATCTATCCTAATGGTTTGATACTTGGTTGGTACCAATGTTACTGCTTGCCAATAACCTATAGATTACAATTTATCTTCTCCTATAGTCAATAAAATATATTTAGCTGGGATTTCTTCTAGACCTCGTTTTCGTGTTTAATTTGTACCAAGTATTCTACATTTTCTAGTAATCCATTAGAGTGTTTAATTTCTAGTATTCTACATTTTCTAGTTATACATTTTCTAGTTATACATTTTCTACTTGCTGGATTTGATGTCACCCTTAACTTTTGCATTAGAAATCCACACCTATATATGCTTAGTCAGTTAGTGTGTTGGGGTGTCAGCATTTCAGCAAGTCAAACCTGAGCTATTCTTTCGCACCCAAGCTCAAATCCCTTGAGTAATGAGTCGAGCCAAAATGAATATCGATCTTTTTCATTATATGTATAGTGTCTTATTATAATTCCTATATTTTACAAAATGTGTTATATTTAGACACACTTGTAATATCATATATACACAATATGATTTTCAATTTATTGTTAAGATGGGATTTGTTTGAAAATGAAAAAAATCAGCAATCGTGCTTATTTAAGCCATGTTAAATTAGTTAGCAGAGCTCATTTGTGCTAATTACAGTTTAACTGAGTTTGATCCTAGTTTCAAGTTTTGACTTTTCGGGCTTGGATCAAATTGCACCCCCTAAGTTCCCGTTTAGGCGATGTCTGACCCTCATATCACTTGATTTTTCTATCAAACGAGATGCATAGATAATGCCTAAGAAGTAAGTTTTGCTAATTAATAAGCCAATTGTGTGACCGAGATGTCACGCAGACCGAGATGACACAGAAGGAGGGCCTTGGTGCACCAGTTAAGGTATTGCTATGCGACCGAGATGTCATAGGTTCAAGTCTTGGGAGCGGCCTCTTGTCAAAATTTGATAGAGGAAGGCTTGCCCCTGATACACATTGTGTTGTGACCCTTCCCTGGACCTTGCCTTGTGGGGATGCCTTCGTGCATTAGGCTGCCTTTATTTAATAAGCCAACTGTGTGTGTGATGCAGATGTGTATATTTTGTTTCCCAACCTCTGCGGTAATTCCTCTGCATGACCACCCCAGAATGACGGTCTTGAGCAAAGTTCTCTATGGGTCCTTGCATGTAAAAGCTTATGATTGGGTTGAGCCAGCTTGCATCTACAAAACTGACCAAACAGGTCAACATCCAGGTTATCTTTCAACCCCATTCTCGTGATTAAAGAACTTGTTAATCTTTGAGCTCATTTTGTAGGCAATTTTTTTACATCATTTAAATATTTCGTCAAACCCTGACCAATTTTAATGTGCTTGCTGAATCTGTTTATAATGAAAAAAAGTATGCAAAAGTTTTTACTTGTTTTTAAGTAGCTAAAGTTAATGGAAATGAAATTGCGGCCTTCAGTTTTGGTTTTTTTTCTTTAATTTATATGAAAGGTATATTTATTTATGAAGATGTCTGGTGGGCCCTATTATATTCACATGGGACCCTCATGGACTGCATGCATGGCTTTGTTCACAGATTTGGTGTGGCACATTAAAGTGTGTCCACATTCGGGTCCTTAAGAGGTAGCTAAGTTGAAAATTGTGTGTAAACATGAAATAATTTCAATATTTATCTAAAGAGTGTAACAGCGTTCCAATCATGCCTATTACTTTTCCAGTGAGATTAGCTAAGTTGGCTGTTGATAGAGTTGTGACAGCACCTTGCAAACCATCAATTTTATACCCTGAAAGTGGAGGGAATCTGCACTGTTTCACTGCTGTCACACCTTGTGCCGTGCTTGATATTCTTGCCCCTCCTTACAACGAAGCTTCCGGACGATGTTGTACCTATTACCGTGATTACCCTTACTCTAGCTTTGGTATGTGCTTCTTTCTCATATTTTCTCTCTTAGTTTTCTTTAGCTTCCATTTAGACTTAAGAATGCTAAAGCTAGAGCATTACTTACTCCCCATATCCCAAAAATATGGTGGTATTTGAATATTGTTTTTAGTTATCCCTTCATCCTAAAAAAAACCAGTCATGTTTTTTAAGTTTCTCTGCTTTCCAAAAAAAACATGTTAGGTAAAGGTGCATCTTTTTAATCTTGACAAAAATGTGCTTACGAGTCATGATACACTAAAACTTTTAAAATTTCCTTATGTTGGTTTTGACTAAAGTTAACGTATTCAACTGCATTTTAAAAAATAAGTAAGATTGATGATTTGTTATAGCTGTACTTTACCAGAACTTTAAAGATGTACTTTTTGTCATATATTTACCTCTCTATATTAAAAAAAAACTGCATAGAGAAGGTATTAGAAATATGACAGAAACCTGCACAGGTAGCTCAGTTGGTTGAGGGGTTGGAATTTGGATCAAGGAACCCTGGTTCGAGTCCCCGCAGCGACCGTGTAGAGGCCACAACCTCTGAAATGGGTTGGACCTCTGGTGCGCACGGGCATATGGGCCTACTGCCACTCCGCCGACTGAGTCACCGTGATTTACATCCTCCCATTTGCCTTATCGGGTCGAGGCGTGGGGGGCTACGGGGGTGGGAGATTCCACCTTTTTTGGATCAAGAAATATGACTGATTTTTTTTACCTCTCTTTGAAAAATCTTACCAGAACTTCAAAGATGTACTTTACCAGAACTTCAAAGATGTACTTTACCAGAACTTTAAAAATGTACTTTTTGTCATAAGAAGAGGCTTTATTGGGATAGAGAGGGTATTAGAAATATGCAACTGTTTTTTGAAAGAGAGGTGGTAAAGGAGCATAAGGGTCTTTATTTCAAAAATTTATTTGGCACGTGCAGAAGAAGAGGATGCTGTTGTGAATGGAAAAGAAGACGAATATGCTTGGCTTACTCCAATTGACACCCCAGATTATCTGTATATGCGCTCAGGAAGCTATAATGGCCCGGCCATTCGAACTTGATAGCGCAAGATGGGCCACGAATGACGAATCAAGGATATTTGTACCAAAACTTTTTGCGTACAGAGCAAGGAATACTGGCATAATATTCCAAAAACTTCTTTTTTTTTTTTTTCATTTTGATCGCAAAAATAGTGCTCATATTGTGTAGTTTCATATTCTTGAATTGCGCCAGCAAGATAACCAACTTCAACAAAAATGTGTTACCTGTGGTTTCTTAACATGAAAAAACTATATTCAAACTTCGACATTTTCTTCTACTGTCCATCTCTCTTGAGAAAACAAAATACCGCAATATCTAACATGTAATGGTTTCAAATCATCTTTTCAAATTAAAAGCAAACATCTTATTTGTCAAATAAAGTCCATTCAAAATATTTTTTATGATAATATGATATTATCACCTGAGTCATTGAATTCTCTAAATGCATTATGCATACTAATATTCCAATAATACAAGTGATGTATTTATCTTCTCATACATCACTACAAATAGTAATTCTACAAATAGTAATGACTCTTGAATTTACTAGAAAATTTATTAATAACTGAAGAAGCTCAGAAATTAAAGCCCCTCTTTACTGGGTGTAACTTCTTCGCGAATATTATCTCGTATTCTCGTGTATTGAAACATGCTTTCTATGATATGTGTTATATTTGTTTAACACACATGGTGTCTCTTAGGCATGGACCGGTCCTGGGCCGGGCTCCGGGCCGGTCCTGGGCGGGCTTTTTGGGTTTGGCTTCGGGCCCGGAATCGGCCCGGGTTTCCACCGGATCCGGACCGGTCCCTGGGCTTCTTCATTTTTTTTGCTTTTCTAATTAACCCCCGACCCCCCCCCCCCTCCTCACCCCCACCCCCCAAACCCCCCCAAAACACTCAGCCCAACCCGGGAAAAACAAAAATAAATTGAAAAACAATAACTAAAAAAATAGGCCCGAACCGGGCCCGGCCGGGCCGAGACTGACCTGTATAACCCCCGGGCAGGGCCTACCCGGACCGGTCTCTGGCCAGGCCACCGGGCCGGTTCCAAACAGTGCCGGGCCGGGCCGGTTCCAAACAATGCCGGGCCGGTAGTGTCTCTAGGATCACAATCCATCTCAAAATATCCATTTGTGTTACCGCCTCTAAATGTTTAACCTTCGAGATGTTTTCCGTGCTCATGATGAAAAAGATGCAACAATATTTTTCTTACGATGACATTGAAAACAACCCAAATCAATAGATATTCTGGCATTCGATATGCAATGGCGACTCTAGTATGACACAAATTTTAAATATAAATTGTAAAAATATAACAACAAATTTTATTAATTAAAAAATTTAATCAAACAACTAGGATAAATCGAACACCAATTTCAATACAATTGAAATAGAGTGCTAGCTATAAATGGAAGCAAATAAGTTTTCCGAAATTTCTAAACAATATTTTTTTTGCTTAATAGTATAAACAAAACAACTGCTCCAACCATTTAACAGTTTTACTAACGACAATAAAATTACAAGCCTAATAACAATATGAAATGGAAAATGAAGTCATTATAATAGTAGTAGCATCAGATGAATGATATGAAATATCAAATTTGACTACAGAACTAATATTCAAATTTATACGGAGTATTACATTACAATAATAATATGACAAGTTACTAATAATAATAATAATGGTGGTGGCGGCGGCGGCGACTATGATGATGATAGTAATATAATATAATAAGGGGGTGTTTGGAACCGCTTCTACAATCTGATTCTGCTGTTCCAAGGAGCACTATGAAGCAAAATCAATTTTGTAAGTGTTTGGATCTGATTTTAAAAGTGATTTTAAAAGGCTGAAAAATCAGTTTTGTAGAAGCTGGGTAGTAGCAGCTTCTCCCAAACTGATTCTGCTTCTTCCAATTTTATTCCTAAAAACCCTCGCTCAATTTTATTTCTCTTCTTCGCATCGTCCCACCTGCTAGAGCTTCTCCTACCTGTGCCGCAAGAGCTTCTTCTCCTCCTACCTAAGCAAACTGCGATTTCCAGTTGGCTCTTCTCTGCTCCGTTCCACCGCCCAGCCCAGGTGAACCACGATCCAGTTAGCTCTTCTCTTCTATTGTGGAGTTGTGGATTTTTTTTAATCTCATGTATATTAATTACGGAGTAATACTGAGTATCTTTATTCCATTATTTTGTCTTTGTTAATTCTATATGGTTGTTATTTTCACCATTATTCCATTATTTTGTCTTTGTTAATTCTATATGGTTGTTATTTTCACCATTTACGGTTCTATTGTGAAGTCATTTACGTTTTTTTGCATTTAAGAAACTGTTTATATAAATTAGATATTGTATTTTTTTAGTACAACTAATTTTTTAAGTTATAATTAATTATATTTGGATTACATTATATAAGTAAATGTTATTATTCATATATCTCTATCTTAGCCTATGTAAATAACAATATTATTTTATATTACAAGGAATGCCTACTATATGCCCTTTTGGTAAATTTACACCAAAAGCGGTTTTTGAAAGCAAGTTATCCAAACACTCTAAACTGTTTCTCTGTTACATACAGCAGAATCAATACCAAACACTCCAGACAGAATCACTTTTTTAGACATCAGAAAATTCTGATTCTGATTCTCACTTAAAAAAAAAGCAGAAGCAGAATCACTTCCAAACACTCCCTAAGTGTGGCAGTATGTTGTTTTGGTTGTGTTTACACAAAGTATTTGTTGAGAAAAACTCTAGTGCATATATGAAATCAGTTTTCGCAATTTTCTTTTAAAAAATACACTATAATAACTGTTAATCATACTTTTAAATATGTTGAGTTTCAATATTATTTTTGAATAAAAAACAATATTTAAACTATTTAACTATTTAAATTTTAATTATTAATACGGATTTATTTATCCACATGGTTGATTTCACCTTCTCATCCATCAATATTAAAAATTGTAAATCGTAATTTGATTTGGGTAGGAATTGGGAGGGGGTGTTTTTTGTAGAAATAATTCCAAATATATTATCAAAATAAAATTATTTTGGACAAAAATGTGACGATGGTAATTTTAGTAAGTATAATTATATTCAAATGTTACATTTTAGTGACTATAAGTATAGTAATTTGTAGTTAAATTTTTATCCATAATTTTTTATTGGTAATATTTTAGAAAGATCAACTTTTTTCTATTCAAGAATTACAAGTTTCAAAACTGAGGCAAATGGCATTTCAGTAAATATATTTAAACAACTTGGATGGATAAGGTGAAGAAGCGGAATTCGCGCGGGAAAAAAGAAAGGAATTCAACGAACCTGAATTGAATCAACGGTTTCCTACGTTTCTGTTTCATTGATTGATGATGAAAACAAAACCAAAGCATGGATCATCCGTTATGGAAGGCAGGGCAATTCACGCCAGATCCAGGCAACACAAAATCCACTTCAATTCCTCTTTTTCCGTTCGATCTTCACGTTCTCCAGCACAAATTCAAATCCCAAATCCATCAGATTTCTAGGGCGGCCCCTCGGAAATCTGATCGGTCCCTCTGCTCTGTTCCCAAATCAATCATCAGAAGCCAACTGAAGGGAAGGATCGATCGGAAATCGGAAGAGCGATGGTTCGCGTGAGCAATGCCATCATCGGGATCCTCAATTTCCTCACCCTGATCGTCTCGGTGGTGGCGATCGGGTTGGCCGTATGGATCCAATTCAACCCGGACGCCACCATGTGCCAGAAGGTCTTCCTCAAGCCGCTCGTCATCCTCGGGATCTCTCTCCTCGTCGTGTCGGTTTTCGGGTTAATCGGGTCCTGCTTCCGAGTCTCCTTCTTTCTGTGGATTTATCTCACCGTCATGTTCCTCCTCATCCTCGGGGTGGCCGGATTCCTGCTCTTCGCGATCCTCGTCACCAATAAGGGCGTCGGAAGCGCTCTCTCTAAGAAGGGATTCAGGGACGCCCGGCTAGGGGATTATTCGCATTGGTTGCAGAAGTATGTTGTGAATGCGGAGAACTGGGATGAGATTAAGAGCTGTTTGGTTGATATCCAATTCTGCCAACATCTTAACCAGGACAAAGAAAAAGGCGCCGATTTTTTCATACAAGGCCTCTCTGCTACTCAGGTCAGTACTACACTACTACTCAATGGCTCCTCCATTATTTTCTTTAGAATAAACTCCCTTGCTCCCATCATACCCTCTTACTTTCCTTTTAACTTGTTGAAAAATTCCATTTTTGGTGCTACGGTGAGCGTATTAATACACATTTATTTCACTGTCTTTAATTTTGAACACTTTTGATAGATGACTATTATGTTTGCCCATATTTGATAGTTCGGTCGATGTTTCCGATCGTTAGAATTTGGGGTGGGCAATTCGGTTTACGGTTCGGTTTTCTTCGGTTTCGGTTTCGGTTTCGGTTTATTCGGGTTGGGAGAATTTGTACTAAACTAAAACCATTTGTGTTTCGGTTCGGTTTCGGTTCGGTTTGAAGTTCGGTTTACCAAAGTAAAAAAATATTGTGTTTAATTTAGTTTGATTTGATTCGTTTGCTTATGTTTATTATTTTATTTGATCAAGTTCTATATTTTAGAATTAGAAAATGAAAGTAGTAGTCCTTTTTTTATTATCTAAGTAGTAGTCCATCTCATCTTTTTTTAATTTATTGATTATCTAAGTAAAATGTAAAAGGAAATAAAAGATAGAAAAATAAATAATAAAATATTATAAATTAAAACTTCTAACATCTTTTTTGCCACTACAAAAATTCACTTCTTACAAAAAATAAGATAGTTGATTAGCATTTATAATGTCACTTAAAATATTCAAAAACCCCTAAAAGAGTCGGTGGTACAAATGTTGTAATATTCACAATTTTATTCAAATGAATCATGTAAATATATAAATACAATTTGCTATTGTTATCGTCAAACATAATAAATACAAATATGTTGTATTAGCTAACTTTATCATAATGAATGTATGAAATGTGTAAAAGTTAAAATGATATGAGTATATGCTTAAATATGTATTTTCATGTCTAAATTATTTATTTATATCTTCTTAAAATGAAGAGTGAAGATAAATACAAAGTGTGTATATATATATATATACATACATACAAGATTCTTAACCCGTGCGTTGCACGGGATGTGTAGTTTATATGTTTAATTATGCCAAATAAAACATTTGTACTACCTCCACCCTGAATTGATTTACAAATTTGACTTTTGTTGGTCAAACAGTTTCGTTTTGTTAACTTAATTAGGATGTCAACTTTTAATTACATTCAAATTTGGAGTTTACAACTTTGAAGAGATTTTAATGTAGTTTATGAATAAGGAAGTTTTAATTATTAAAAGTTGAATTAATTATCAAGAGGGAGGATTCACTTTTATTATTGATTGACCAAAAAATGTTGAGTTTGCAAAACAAATTGGGATGGAGGGAGTATTTGATTTAAAATATGATTTATAAGGCTGATAAGATAGATACATGGATTATCAAAAGGCCTTGAATTGAATGATAATACCGTTAATAAGAGCATAAAAATCATTCATAAATACCCAAATTTAATTTAGAGAAAATTCTCTAAATAAGACTAAAACATGAATTAAATTCATAAATAGGACCATCATTGTTTTATTCCCAAAATAGGATTCATTCACTCCTATTATGGGAAGTCTTAATCAAGTTATTTTTTAATAGGACTAACTAAGTTAGAAGGATCTATTTTGCCAGTGATTTTTGTATCACACTCGCTTGATGGTTAGCGATTCGTATTGCTCTTTTGAGGGTGATCGTTTCAGAGTCTAGCCGTAGGGTTGATTATGCTTGTTGGTTAGGGATAGTTGTTGTCAGGGTTGGTTTCTTTTAGTTTGTTGTAACAATCCGATTCCTAATACTTTTAATATAAGGATTTGTTTTGATGATAAAAAATTGATTGGCTGGTTCAAATTCAATACGCTGGTTCAAATTCAATACGGATGGTGCATGCAAAGTTTCAAAAAATGAATTATGCAAAAAAACAAAGAACGATAATAGAGGTATTCAAACCCTGCAGCTCCACAATGGGAAAGGACTCCAATTTCATGGATTCCCCCATTCCATTGCTAAAGTCTTTCTATTACTTAGGAGCATTTGTTTTAAATACACATTTATTAATTAATAGCATCTAAAATATAAATAATATACGATAGTATATAGATATTTTTTTTGAAAGTCCATGGAGTCCCGGGGACCCCGAGGAACTCTTAGTGGGTCCGCAAGTAATTCCTCCTAATTTTCTATGCTCATACTTTGAATGCTTTGTATTTTCAATAATACTACCTTAAATATAACCTTGCTTTCTATGCTCACACTCTCCTGAATGCTTTTTTTTTGTTGAGAAATTTCCTGAATGAAATCATTAGTTTTCAATTTTAGAAACCGGTCCAGATTGTTTATCAATGTATAGACATTGATACATTCGTGTAGTCAAGCTTCCCATACTGTGCACGGAATACGATTGTCCCTAGCTAGTTAGTGGGCACCAGAAATAATACTTATTATTGTATATGCTTTATATAAAATAATACTTTTTTTTTATATGCTTTATATATTATCATGAAAAAACACGGAGTACTATTTATGAGCAGTTTTGTTTTTATATATTACTATCTCCGCCCCCTAATATCGGCCGGGAGTAAAGTGGTTTTTAAGAAAAGTAGAATTATTTGGTTGATAATTGGTTTATAAAGTGGGAATAAAGTAAAAATGAATTAGAGTCACACAGATGTTACCTAATATGATATGAGACAATAATAGTGAGACATTCAAAAATGAAAAATGGGACAATTATAGGGGGGTGGAGGGAGTATCAATACATCTTGTAGCTCAAACTTCATTAGTTTTTCTAATTCCCTCCTTTGTCAATTGTTTCCTTTATTGGCTCCTTACCCACAACGTCACCAATAACATCTACAAACAATTTGATTTTTTTTTTATTAAATATTGCTCAAGTAAGGAATGTTTCATTTCTTATGGGTGATGAATATGATTTAAATTGAACTTACCGATGTACTACGTATATACCATCGTCTCTTCCATTCAAAATATAATCGAATTGCATTAAATCAAAATGGTGCATGGGTGTTTTACACATTCAATATATTTAATTTGCTAGTTTATGTATAACGTTTGAATTATGGCAGCGCACTCATAATCAAATTTCCATGTATAATACTTCGTATCTACTCAGTCAATGTGCTTCATGTTTATTTATAAGATCGTACATATTTTGAATTATATGGCTGATGGCATAACTCTTATCAAGAATAGTTTTCACCACGACACCACATAACGTACGTATGTATTAACAAAGGCATATAATATTGCATTTCCATGTATATCGTATTCCCTTGCATTAATATCACAGACTTGCAATGTATGGTCCTATTTATTTATGGCAAATAGTTACTGTATAATATATATATATATATACTCCGGCATGCATATCTATCTATAATTGATATGTACTACGTATATTCTTATTCTTATTATTATAAAATACGAAGCCTGATATTGTTTTAGGATTATGATCATGATTATAGACTATTATTAAAATTATTATATAATATTTTCATAAATGTATAAAATTTATAAATTATATACAAATATACGGAGTAATAATTAAAATAATTGTCCAAAATTTGTTATCATTAATGAAGAAACGACATTTTGGCGAACTTTTCCGGAATGGAGAGAGTAATGTATTTATATTTTAGATGCTATTAAATTTCCTGGTACAAAGTTACACTACAAAAAAAGGCGGAATTGACATGGAATTTGGTACGGACTTATCAATTTTTCGTGCCAAATAGCTCGTGCCAAAGTGTTTTTTTTGCACGGATTTGGCATCTCCCTACCAAAATCCGTGCCAAAATCTCTGCCAATCCCGTGTTTTTTTGTAGTGTTAACCATTTATTACATTTTGTTTATCTATCAATTATGTTATTATAATTACACAGAGAGTAATATATTTATATTTTAGATGCTATTAAATTTCCTGGTACAAAGTTAACCATTTATTACATTTTCTTTATCTATCAATTATGTTATTATAATTACACAGACCTACGTACGTGTTACATAATATTGCAAGTAGACAATTGCATTTAATTAGATGCTACGCATTATTACATTTCCTTGTACAAAGTTCACGTTTTATTACCTTTCCTTTACCAACGTAACTATGGATTAGATGCTACGCATTATTACATTTCCTTGTACATAGTTCACGTTTTATTACCTTTCCTTTACCAACTATGGAGTATGTTATTATTACTCACACCTACGTTTAGACAGTTGCTTTTACTAATAATAAGTCATTAAATAGCTCTTTCATTCCTTGGGCGGGATTTAATTAGCAAAAAATATTAAAATACCAATTGTGCCCATAAGTTTGGGCGGGATTTGGAACAAAAAAAGCTCCTC